CAATATTTTATCTGCCAAAGCATGCAGAAGTGCTAAACAGGATGAATTACGTGGCAGCTGCAAAACAGAGCAAGAAGCATCATTGCTTGGAGTGAGCAGAAATTTGACAGTTATTTGCCACATTTTAGCAATCACACCTTCATATCCTGGATTTTTCTTTTACCCTTCTTCTGTCTTACTGTTTTTCTTTCCCTGTCTCTTTTCTCTTTTTTTTTTTTTTTTTTTAAATTCAAATAGTTTCAGGCTTCACTGAGTTCGAAAATGCTCTAAACCGATAAGAAGGGCTTGTTTCATTGGAGATCTTCCCCAGCATGAAAAGGGAAATAATGGACTAGAATTGAAGAATCAGTTTAGGGCAGAATAGCAATTTTAATTTTAGCTCATCCAGAATTTGTGTGGGTGTCTCTCTGTGTGTTGGTTCCCCAGCTGTGTGGTGGGGATGGTGCCTGAGTACACACAGGGGGTCAGCCGGCAGTACCACACGGGCACCTGGAACAATGTAGTGGCATTTCTGATGTTTAGAAACAGGGCAGGGAAGGAATGCTTCAAAACCCATCTCTGAAAAGCTAAAATCATAGAATCACAAAATCCTGAGTTAGAAAGAACCCACAAGGATCATCAAATCCAGCTCCTGGCCCTGCACAGGATAACCCAGAAGTCCCACCATGTGCCTGAGAGCATTGGCCAAATGCTCCTTGAGTTCTGTCAGGCTTGGTGCTGTGACCATTCCCTGGGGAGCCTATTCCTGTGTGCAGACACCCTCTGGGGGAAGAACCTTTTCCTAAGATCCAGCCTAAACCTCCCAATACAGGTTGCAGTTGTGGGCAGAATCCAAGTCCCTGGGAAGCTCTAACAAGGAAACCAAGCTGAGACATCCATTAGCGAGACCTACCAAGGAGAGCAGCCTGAGATGAGATAAACTGCTAATGATGAGCTTGTGTTGCAAAGGAAACTGCTGGGGGCAGTCAGCAGAGAGAGAGGAGAGCGGGGATAAGTGAGAGGGCACACAGACAGCTTTTCTGACATTCTTTTTGCTTAACAGCCAGATTTGTAATACCTGGAAGAACAGAACCAGAGGTGGCAGAAGCCTAAAGAGACAGTATTTAGTAGATAAAGTTGGTAGATGTTTGGCACAGTGTAAGAAGATTACAGATGTCAGGACAGCAGGAGACAGTGAGAGGGAAGGAGAGGAAATACAGAGCTTTGCTCTCCAAGACTTATAAACCAGCTCAGTGGCAGCAGTCTCTAAGGAACTTAGGCTAAAAGATGCAATAATAATGCTTAGAAATGAGGGGAAGGATCTTTGCGGCAGGAGAGTCTTGCTGTCTTTGGTATTGACTTTCCAGATGTTTCCAGTAGCCTGAATGGGTCTCCTCCATAACTTGGCTGAGCAGGCAGTGTCTTTTCTAGGACATCCATGTCTGGTTGCTGAAGTGCCTTATTTTGTTTGAAATAAATAGCATTAGGTCTGGGTTGTGCAGCAGCACATCAGCTCAGACGTCCCAAGCACAGATAATTTCTGAGCTTTGGTCAGACTTAGTATAAAGTTATAATAGTTTCAGGTCAGAGTCTTCAGCTGACCTGGAGCAGTTTTCCCTCTGTTCTTCCACTACAGTAAGAATAAGTATAAAACTTACACATATATATATAGATACGCATATATATAGATATAGATATATATTACAGTTGTAAGTGCATTTTTCTATTGATTTTCTATTGGACTTTCTTTTATTCCAAAGGAGAAAATTATCAATCTCACACCCTGGGACAGAACTTTATTGCTTTTACTTGTGTGCTGCTAAAGAGCTCAGCACTGCTGGCTCTGACCAACTGCTTCTGTGTCACTGCGGCCCTCAGATGTCGGGGATGTCAGGGAAAACGTGCAAAGGTGCGAGACCCATGCAGTCTGTCACATCCACACTGTGGAGAGAGGCTTGGGATCCACTTCCAGCAGAGCTGGAGAGTGTAATTTTCTCTGGAAGAAAGTGAAGGTATTGATTTGACAGGAGCTAGAAGCACCTTCTGACTTTCTGCCTGCAGCATACGTTAGCAACATGTGAAACTGGACTTATTTTTTAAATAAGAGACATAATTGTCTTACTGCTGGTTTTCTTTGATGTGTTCACCATGGACTGGCCTTACCCTGCTGTGCAGGATGGGGGTCTGCTGGATCCATGACCCTGAACATAGCAACTGTGTAATGGGGAAAAATGTATTATGAGTTTATAGCAGGATTTGGGAATTGCTGCCAGTGGCTGTCACAAGCTCTGTCCTTCTGTGCTTTCCTTTATTTCACTCTTAGTGCCCATCACACTTGCCTGGAAGCTGCAGCATGGCTGTGACCCCCAAGGTAATGTGACCTCCCCCCAAGGTAAATGGGCACATTTACCTTGGGCTGCCTTGCAGCCCGTATCAGTTTTTCAAGAAAAGCAGTTTTGTGGTGGCTTTGTTTTCTGAGCATGGAACAATCCAGGCGGGTTGTAATTCAGTGAAAGGAGATCACTGTCTCCTGGTTCTCACACCATGCTTGGGGGAACTGGGGGTTCAGCCTGAGAAAAGGAGGCAAGGGGACTTGGGGACTTTCTCCCTCTCTATAACTATTTGAAAGAAAGTTGTAGCCAAGAGAGGGTCGATCTCTTCTCCCAAGTAGTAAATGACAGGATGAGATGAAATGGCTTCAAGTTGTACTGGGGAGGCTTGGGTTGAGGATTAGGAGAAAATTCTTCTGGATTGACTCCATCCAGCCCAGGATCATGGTGGAGTCCCCATCCCTGGAAGTGTGAACAAGCCCCATGTAGATGTGACACTTGGGTTAGTGCTGAGGGAGGAAGGCTGGGAAAGCCTTGCCCAGGTAACAACAAATATCTACCAAAAAAAGTCCCAGCTGCTGAAAACAAATCTGGAGGGTGTAAAGTCAGAGCTGCTTTGGCCTGTCCTTGTGGGGAGCACAGGGTAAGTGGATCAGCCCACCCAGCTGTCACCATGCACATTGCCTGTAGCACTGCTCTGCTCACTAATGGAAACCACAAAGCAGAAACAGAAGTGGAAGAAAATTAAATCGTTTTCGCTGTCCCCATTAGCCCTAGATACATTTCTGGGATTAACTTTTGATTGAAAGTAAAATTGCAGCTAAGAGAAAAAATATTATTGCAGTAGCTAAAACAGTATATACAACAGAATAGCTTGATTAAATGGATACAGTAATCAGGTTTTCTCTTAAATAAGCTGGTGATTGAATGAAAATATATATATGTACTGCCTTCACAAACCATCAAATGACATGGTTGGAAATAAAGAAGTCAAGAATAATAAACAAAACGAATAGTAGCTGAATAGCCTTTTTTGTGCAAAACAAGACTGATCCCAAGTGGGACACTGTTTTTTGGAGGTTGTTTAGAGGGAAGGAAAAATTTATCAGCTGCTTAATATCCCTGAGCAGCAGGAAACTCTCCAAACTAGATGGGACTGAGTTCAGGGTAGGAAATAGCCTTGTCTTGCAGTTCTTGTCCATGTAGCAGGAGGGCACTGACCCGACTGGTGAGCACGTGTTCAGCCTCTGTGTCCCCTGTCACCTTCTCAGGTCATAATGCTTTTGAAGTTGTGAGCACAAAATATGAAGGGTGAAAAAAAACCCTTGACAGTAGATGGGTTTGCTATCAGAGAAGTGCCTCCCACCTGGAATTTTAATTGGGTTTCAGCTGGAGTGGGACCAAGAGGTCCAAAATGTTGCAGCTCAGCAAGAAAGGGACAGGAACATTAGCTGTCACTGTGCCAGAGTCTTCTGTTATTTTTCAGTGGAATAATGTTTAGAGTCTTTGGGGAGCTGATCTACAAGGGTATTGTCCCTTAAACTGAGGTGGGACCATGTTGTCTTAGATTTAAGATTAAATCTTAGATTTAATCCAAGAGGATCAGTGATGGGATTTCAAAGAAAAGGTTTGTTTTAAACCCAGTATTGCAGAGAGTAAGGCTATTTACGTTATAGGGAAGTTACATTGTAGGCATAAGGACATCCGAGGGGAGCAGCTGGAGGTGCTGGTGCTGTTGGTGGGGTATGGTTGATACCCACAGGTGTGGGACAGCTGGAGCCTGAGGGTGCTCCAGGGTCTGCTCCAAGGCTCCTGAAAGACAGCAGCCACTCTGCACTAAAGAAAACAGATTTGCACAGAAGGACAGCTGCCATTTCTCATTCTGCTGAGTTCTGCCAGCCAGCAGATGAGCAAAAAAGGGCCATAATATCTTATACTGCTTTGGGCATGTGGATGCATTTCCTTGAGGAGGGGAAGAGCTGTGGGAGAGCTGGATGCTGCGGGCACAGCCTGAGATTGCAGGGTCAGGAGGGTTCAATATGATTTCTTCAGCCAAGCCAGAATCACTTCAGGGAGAGTGGCTGGAGGGCTTTTCCCTGATAATAACCTTTTTCCCTGGGCAGGGACAGGACAGTGTTTATTTCAGCCTGCAGCTGAAATGAGGGGTGATGAGAGCAGGCACTAGTGACACCACAGCTGCAGGGGCTCCCCACAGCCCTGCACTCCTCACTGTCCTTCCTCTGGCCTTCTACCACCAGGCTGCCTCTGAGGATTCCCTGAGATCAGCCCCATGTTTGACATAGGGTGACAGTCTGAGGAACCAGTTACAGTAGTGCAACTTTCTAAACATCAGCTTCCCCAGGTTTATTTATTACTTTATGGGATAAATTTATTCATATAGAAAAGCATAGAGCCAATTTCATATTTGTGGGAGTTCCAAAACTGAGTGTGGCAGTCTGTAACTGAAGCCCTGTAAAATCTGGAAGGTAACATGCTGGAGAGTATCCCTGACAGCAGGATTTAGAAAATCTGCCAGCTATTACAAAAGGTAACGACTACAGGAGCTCCTCAGGTGCACAGCTGAGTGGAGCTGAATGTGCAGACATATGTGCCTAATTTTTCCTTTTAGGACCTCATTCCTTGGAAAAGATGAAGGTCATGCACGTGCAGTAATGCTGTCTTCTCTCTCAGGGGACAGCTGCACCGTGGCAGACTACAGCCGGCTCAAGAGCATCCTGCTGGACCTGCAGGCTCGCCGGCAGAGCCCGCCCAGCAGCCTGGCCAAGGACAGGCTAGCCCAGAAGCGCTTCCTGATTGAAGAGCTGTTCAAGCACTTGGATCTGAACAGTGATGGGCATCTCAGCAGCTCTGAACTGGCTCAGGTAGGTCTATTGTTCAGTGAGAATGGGATTATGAAGTGGATTTTCATTCAAAGTGTGAATCGAATGTAACACAGCAGCACTCAGGTGGGAATGGTCATTTGTACCTGTCCAGTCAGCAGGAAGTAAAGGAGGAAAATCTAACACAGTCAATGAGTCTTTCTCTTCATCTCCCAGGAGTCAGCATTGTCTCAAACATTTGAAGCTCATCTCCAAACAAAAAACATGGCAGTTTTCCAGCCCCATCTGTACTCCTCAAAATAGATAATAATCCTTGCTCTGCTAACTGACATTTTCTGAAGTATATTAGTTAGCCAGCTTGGGGACAATCAATTTAGATTTTTTTAGGTGCATGTAAGTTAGGCAGCAATCTCTCAATTCTTCTCCCTGCCTTCTGGACTGTGCATTAGCACAGAGTAATGTGATGGGAAAGTTGAGATGTTTTTCATCAGGTATATTGTCCTAAAATCCCTGGGCAGATGCTGAAATGTGGATTCGCAGAAATAGGTAGAAAAGGTAAGAGCTTGAAAAAACTGTTATTTTTAATTTCAGGTGTGCTGTGCTGTGCTGTTGGAATTCATCTCCTTGGTAAAGTGAGCCAAACAGCCATCCTGGGCACTCACCCTGGGTACTCTGTGTCCTCAAATTGTTTTTTGCACATGCAGACCAGGGAAAACAGTCCTGTAAAATGTCCTTTCCATTCCATTATGTCATCCATGAGAAGAATTAGCAAATGCTTTTTAAGAGCCCTTTGGAAGCCACTCCTATCTAGAACCTATTCCAGTTTCCAGAGCTGCTCCTTCATAGAATTTTGGAATGGTTTGGGTGGGTAGGCACCTTAAAGCTGACCTCATTCCACCCCCTGCCATGGGCAAGGACACCTGCCACTAAACCAGGTTGTTCAGAGTAAGTTCTCCCTTGAGTGTCTCATCTGCACTCTTACTTCCCAGGGAGCACAGAGTGTGTTGCAGGCACGAGCCTGCTCCTCCCTGAGCATGCTCCTCTCCAGGACAGTTTGTGCTGCATTTTTGTCCTCAGGCTGTTGACAGGTTGCTTGATCCTTTCCACACAATGCAAAGTGTCAGCATAAATTCCCTTAGATCTCAGGGCTATGAATATATGCAATATTTCCTCTGAAGGCAATGATTTTTTCATAAAGACATGGTAGCTATAAGAAAACACTTTTATCTGAATTCAAAGCCAGTTTTACATAGTGGCATCTAAGTGTCTCTTCTATTCTCCAATTTTTTTGCCCTTTTTACATGAAACTTATTTTATTAGGATTTTAAATCTCTCATGGAAATAAAGGTTTGGCAGCCTGCAAGCAATTGTTGTTGCAAAGGAGCTCAGGCAGTGCTCTAAGGTCTGCCTCGAAGTTCCTCTGGGCTTTGTTTGCAGAGGTACCTGGAGCCCAGGTCTCTCTCACAAGTACAAACACAGATATTGGCTACTCTTCTTTTAATTCTTCTCACTGTTATCAAAATCAGAAAATGTGCCTGAACATCTGGAGCCCACAACAGTTGGATGGACCAGACTTAAGTTCAGCCCCAGCCAGGAGCCCTCTCACCCGACCATTCCCCATGCAATCCGGCCACCAGCATGGCTGCGTTGACAGAGGGATCACCTCTCAAAAGACAAAATAATGCCTATTAATCCACAGTTTAGATATGCCATGAGTGCTTTTAACCCTGAGCTGAGTGGCTCTGGTCTGAGGCCCCTTGGTGTCAGCATGGCTGAGTCCCAGCCAGGCTGGGGCGTATCTGTGGGCACCTCTGGGCTCTCACAGTTGATTTGTAGCATGCCAATTCTTTATTTTTCTCTTTAACAAGATGATTTTTATGTGCCCTTACAAAACTGGTTTATCCACCCAGGTTTCAAGGGACTTCTTTTTAGGTAACGAGCAATTTTTAATTACCCAGGTTATAGTCTTAACAGAACTCTTCTTACCTATTTCTTTGGTGGATTTGTAATTGATTTGCATTAGCTCTCTGTTTTGAAGCTCTCTGCAACTTTAAATTTCCCCCAGAGATAGGAATTTCATTGCCCATGGGCAGAGGAAGCTGAGCTGAATGTGGTGCAGTGAGATCTTGTTCCCTCTGACTGCTGGATGAGCTGGTGCTGTGCCTTTGCTTTGTTTTATTTAAAAGAAAAATAGTCTCTCAAGCACTATAACTTTGTCTGAGCAAAAACTCAAGGCAGGTAACTTGCACTGCTGCAGTAAAAAGTGATTTTTAAGACTTGGAAGTGGATCTTTAGGAGGCTCATTGCGGAAGGATTCACCCCAAAGGAGAGTCTCTCCAGGGGGATGGTCCTTCACTGACTCAGCACCTGTTTGTGTGTTCTTCACGACAGAATTGCTTTGAGCAAAACAGTGGCAACAGATGGCCCATCCCCTTCTCTTTAGAGCTGGCTTGCCTCCTGTCTGCTGGTAGACCCTGTCCAATATTTTCCCTCTGGACTCAACAGTGAAATTGCCACGTAGTTTTGCAACCATGGATAAATAAGGTTATTAACAATGGTGGTAATTGGAATGTTATTTCCATTTAAATCTTTAATGTATCTTAAAGTCAGATTCATAAATCTACTAAGTGTGTCACAGCTGAAGTGTTTTCCACTTTTTTTTTTTTCCTGACGTTAAATCAAAAGGACTAGTAAAAACTTGTCAGTCTTATGAAAAGTCAATCAATTTTCTATACAGAGGGTACACAATGGGCAATTTCCATCTTTAGAGGATTGATCTTGGAAGTTATGGTTGATCTCACTTTTATTGAATATTTTTTACTTGCTAGGTGAAGGGTCATTTTTTTAGCATTATTACTTTAAATTGCTTCAGCATAATGGGTCAAGACTAGAATAGTAAATAAAAGAGTCCCTGGCCTACAGGAAAAAGCTTTCCTGTCTGGAAGATGCAACAGTTCAGCAGATTTGTTCATGTTCTGCCATAAATTCAGAGAACCCAAATGAAATGTTGAAAAAACAAAAGAAGCAAACTGTCAGGGGCTGGAAAAGCACATCAGTATTGAGTACAATCCACTGTCGCCTGTTCTAGTCCTAAAATCAGGGAATACGATTTTGTCCTTACTTACTGAGGAGAAAGGAGAAGCAGACTTTCCTTTTTCCCTGTGGAATGTTTTTTCTCAGTCCATTTTCAAAAAGAAAATGCATTTCTGTGCTGCTGGTAAAGGAAAGGGCTCTTCAGTCCATGGTCCATGAATTGCTGCAAGAAATATCTTGACAGAAAGCAAATACTATGATAATATATCTGTTATCTACCTATTCCACAAAGGTCATTTCATGGAAAATCTGCCAGGTGGGCCAGGCCAGCAGTGTGTAGCATTGCATTCCATGTAAGGTTACCTGTTCTCTTTGCTGCAGCCAATGAAGAAGGAGGACCTGGAGGATGATTTACTGGGTTGTACACTTGAAGACCTTCTCCAGTTTGATGATTACAATAATGATGGCCACCTGACCCTGCAGGAGCTCTACACAGCCTTCCGTGAGTCCCTGCTTTGGTCTGTCCTGGCTGTTTGAAGCATGGCAATATCTGTGAGGGCACTGTTGTCTTCCTAGACATGGTCAGCCAAGATGATCCCTTTTTTGTCTTTAATGGCATGAAAACACTTTGGAAGGCTTGTTCCCAAGGTGTCTGTGCTCCACAGCGTGGAGCAGGAGGTTGGTACAGGTGTGTCAAGTTTATTGTTTTCTTCTGTGTCGTCTTGTGCTTCTTGTTGATGGCAAGGGAGAGACGGTGGCCTGGCCAAAGTCTCTAGACCTGAGAGACTGGTTAATCATGGTTTGATTAACCCTGAAGAAGCAAGATGGAAACCTGTCCAAAGCTCCTGTAGTAATACGAGTTAGTTTGCGGTGGGGAAGGTGTTTACTGAATATTTTGCCTGGGAATTATGTTTTCTACATTTTGTTTCCATATTAATGAGTGTATTAGAGTGTGCAGTCATCATACAAATCTCAGCATCCTGTGCAAGGATCGGGGGATCACAGAGCTACTTAAACAGTATTTATATAATAAATACTTCTGTTATCCCATTTATCTTCATAAATTTATGTTCTTGCTTTAAGTTATGCATTTGTTGAAGTCCTTCCCTGGAAAAGGCCCACACTGTCTCCTTCATCTGGGTCATAGAAAGTTGTATTGTTGCCCATTCCTTTGGAACACTAAAGAAAAAGGGAAATACGCATAGTTATTCATTAATCAGGATAGTGAGCTACAGAGAACTTGGGTATGGTTAAGACATTGTGGCTAAAACTGAAGCAGGATTCAATCATTGACCCTGTTGAGTGCAGGGAAAGGGCCAATAACAAGCTGGTTACCTCTTAAGCAGGATTATTTTCTAAAGAGGGTAGTGCCTGTTTTCTTGATTTGCCACTTTTCATTTAAAAAAAACCAATTTAGATGATAATCACAGAATGGTTTGGGTTAGAATGGACCTTAAAGATTATCAAGTTCCATCCCCCTGCCATGGGCAGGGACACCTGGCACTAGTCCAGGTCACTCCAAGCCCCATCCAGCCTGGCTTTGGACACTTCCAGGGATGGGGCACCCTGTGCCAGGGCCCCACCACCCTCACAGGGAGGGATTTCTTCCTAAAATACCCAGTCTAGCCCTGCACTCTGTCAGTTTGAAGCCATTCTCCCTTGACCTATCATACCATGCCCTTGTCAAAATTCCCTCTTCAGCTCTCCTGTAGGCAGCCTTTAAATACTGGAAGGTGTTTAAAGTGCTTTAGGATTAGCCCCAGTTGTCACCATGGACCTGTTTGAACCACACATGCATTTAATTCAACACAGCAGATATACAGTAAAACATAAAAATCTCATACATTAAGAAGGCATAAAGGGCATTAACCCAGCTATAAAGGCTTGACATGAAGTTATTTGGGGGCATATTTAGATCAATGGGTTCTCAAAGTCACATCAACTTAAACCCAAATTCCAGTAATTATTTCTATGGGTTTTGGTTCAGGGAATTTTAAGTAGGCAATGAAAATAAGACAAGTACAAAATATTAACCAATTAATAGCAATAATATTGATAAACTGCACAATTATCATAACAAAACACAAGGTGTAACAATAACTGTTTGTCAGAGGAATTTTGTATCTGAACAGAATTGCTCACCAACTGAAGCTGAAAACTAGACTGACTTCTCCATTTTCAGTTTTCCCAGAATCCTGACTTTTATCAAGAGCAACTAATGGCTCACAAGCTTTTAATTTAAAAGCAAAGTTAATTCCTTGCAACTTTTGAAATTTTGGGGAACCTGGAAGCAGATTTAGTGCCTGGTTGAAGTATATTTTTTCCTTTTACTTTATTAAATGATGTAGGAAAAAATACTTTAAACACTTAAGGGCACACTTTGGTTTATGAAAATTTTGTTTATCAGATTTCTGCTTTGTTATGAGTCAGAATTTGGCTTGCAGCAGTAGTTTAAAGGTACAGCATCCTGCACACTTCTCTTTTTTGCCTATTAGAGAGATCTTTTTGTTGCTTGAAGTTTACCCAAGCCATGAATTGTGGCTGCCACAGGCTGGCAGCAAGGTGTGGGCATGGCTGCACAGCAAGCTGAGTAACATAATTACCAGAATTCAGTGACATCAGAAAGTCTCAATCTAATTTATCCTCTCAAAAACTCTGTTACATCTGTTTCCATGCTCTGTGCTCTGGTGGAGTGTCACAGTGTTGGAAAGGTTTGAAAATGACCTTGATAGTGTGAAGAGCTGCCCAATCTGACATTCTTGTGCTGCATTAGAAGTTGTATTTCATTTTAGAGAGTCTTGTGGCCTTGTTGTAACCCACAGAGCCACAAAATGGCCTCTTTCTCTCACTCCATGTGTGTCTCTTGCTTTCCCTTGATCCATCCTTTCTCTCTAAGACTTTCAGGGACCCAAAGGTTATTTTTCTGCCCCACCATGTTGATTATCTGTAAATAAATGAAAAGTGTATGAATGAGATAAATCCGGAGTCTTACATTTTCTGAAATGTGGTTTTGCCAATACAAGCACTACATCTAATAGGTGCTATTTTTAATCATAACTTCTAACTGTTGTCATATGCATTTTAATGCACAGTTTTGGATTATGGACAGAAGTAGTGGCCTTCTTTCTAAACCTACCATCTTTCTTCTGGTTTTCTGAAAGTTCTTTTGTTCCTTAATCCCAAGGATAGCACTGTTGAGCGTTTTCTTGCATCTATGAGGATGACTAGAAATATCTGTTAACACAGGATTAAAGTGTCAGCTTTCAAATTGCCTTAATCATACACAAGTAGTGCATGAGGCGGATGAAACACTCCCCTGGCAGCTCTGGTAAGAACCACTTGTAGGTGTCTTCTAATTCCTCATTAATAATTTTTTATTAGATAAGGAGTCTCAGGACCGTAATTTTAAAAAAATAATTTGATATGATGATCTTGAGATTTTTCACATGCCAAAAATAGAGTACTAGAAAGATTATTTGTCTGTTGTCTTTTCTTTAAGTTGTCACAAAGATTCAATACATGACTAATAAATGAAAGGCTTAGTTGTCATAAGAGCTAAAGCAATGCATGCATCTAATTAATCAGTGCAGAGGTAGCCTGGTGAGTTGGCAAGCACATCACCCAGCTGAGTCATACGTTTAAGAATGCTCAGATGGGTGGTTTTTAGATATAACTTCTGGCTCTGTATCTGACTGGAGGTCATTAAAATTAGGCATGACACTTCTGGCGTTCCTGTTGTCTTCCCTAATGGGCAAGTGGCAGGTTGGCAGATGTGAAAGCCCAACTTAAGAAAAAGTCTGTGTAACCTTCTACATCTGTATCATCATCATCATCATCAATGTGGACAGGTCAATTTGTAATACAGATAATTGAGGGAGAGGGAAAAGATGCATTCCATCAAAATGCCTTTATCCTGTCACCACTGTTTAGCTAATAAGGAGTTATTAAACCAACAATAAAATCCCCTAAAGTCTAGATTATGGCCCATTAAAGTACTTTCCTGATGTCATAGCTAGACCAAAACAGCCTACAAAGGAAGTTTGAAAGAAAAATACTGAATTGTGATTTTTCAATCCAGTTGTTATTTGCCGTGGCCTGTTGCATATAAGTTACATGTAGACAGAAAATTGCTGTTTCTGTAAGATGAGAGGCATGTCATCTATGGATATTAATGCTATCTAAAAAACACAAGTAGGGACATTTTTCATGCAGGAATGAATGCAGCAGCAGCTGCAGGATTAATGTGCTCTTAACTCCAATTAAGGAGTATAAGACAACATTTTTCGTTACTCCCTGATTCTGTTTTAGCTCAAATCTTCCTTTTTTAATATGTCCTTAATATTAACCGAAAAAGCACAAGGAAGAAATATGAAAATGAGATGTACACACTTTAGCAGGAGGTTAGGGAAATGCTGGGTAACAGCCAGGGAGGGTGGATGGTGCCAGCCCCCGGCCCTGGGGCTCTCCCAGCTCCACAACCAGGGGCTGGGAGACCAGACTGAATTTGAATAAACTGGGTGAAAAAATGAATTTGAGAGCCTGGGCTGGGCAGAGGTGCCAGGTAAACCACTGCCAATGCAGAGAAGCAGTGTTGGGCTGGCTCCGGATTTACTGCAGTGATCCCAAAATCTCCAGGAGCTGTACTCCCCACAGCTGTGTGGTGTGGAGAAGGGAGCAATCCATTCCTGATTCCTCCAACATCCTCCAGAGGCTCCTTAGAAGTGTGGAGTGTGAGAGATTTATTTTTGAGTTGTGCATATTTCTGTTTCACTAGAAACTACTTTAGGGCAGAAATTTTAATTGTCCCCAGATTGTGGGGATTGGTGCTGATGAGGAAAAAGCAAAGCTCTACATTGAGAAACAGGGAGTGAAAGATAAAAAGGGTCTTGCAGGGTCAAGTGGGAGAGGAAGATGTTGAGTGAGGAAGAAGCTTTCAGCAGGGTATCTGTTCTTGGTAGATATATCAGCATATCCAACTCATAATAAACAAGGTGATAATGGTGGATAAATACTGTTTGAGGAAAACAGATACCCCTGTTTGCTCTCTGTGTGTGTGTGTGTGAATATACATTGCACACACGTGTGGCAAGCCAGCTGTTCCAGCAGCACTTGCACCTGTAAAATCCACGTTCAGATGAGGTGTTTATTCACAAATTCATGAAGCTGTTCTTGATGGCACAGCACCTACAGTCAGGTATTTGTTGCTGTTTCCTTCCAGATGGATTGGTCAAGCCCAGATAATTATATTGGACAAGTATATTGTGAGATAAAATGTTTTGCTTGCAGTGTTTTCTTAAGCAGTGTTGTAGCAACAGTTATCTATGGAATCAAATCATAGTCCTGAAATATTGACAGTTTGTGCCCCATGCTCTGCCCCTCCCGCTGTCATCTCCCTGGTATGTGATTTTTCTTTCATGTTGCTGCAGATATTGGTACAAACTTGGAAATAATTCATTAGCTTACCAGCATTGATCGCTTCTGTGAGCGATGTGATATCCCAAC